ATGCTGCATGGCAAACAAGCTTGGCGGCTGCAACCAACATCTTCAAAAGTAATTAGACCCTCCCACTTCATTTGCAAGCACTCTCCAGCTAATCAGTCTTCTATAATAGATGCGGTAAAAATGTCGGTCTTTTTATCAATATTCGCAAGTGCACGGTTCTCTATCTGCACAACACGAACGGATCCTGGCACTACGCGCCCTACCTTGACCGCCATGGCGAAGTCGACCCCGGTCTCCGTCGTAACCGTCAACTTATTCTCAATCAGAAGCGCTATGACCGGCTACTACGCGATGTCTGGCTGTCACATTCGATACCCGCGACTATCAGCCGCAAGCTGGAGTCAGAGATCAACAGCGGTGGCTGGGAGACTATCTAATGAACACAAAAACGCGGTTTCTTTTTGCGATTGTTGATGTGCATGCGCTTAGATTCCTTGCTTTCGAATTTTTGATGGTGAATTGGAAACGATCGTGATTGTGTGTTTAGCCGCTTTTTCTTTTCCTTTCCTTACTGTGCATTTTTACCATGTTTTCGTCTCTTTTTCACTGTACATCGGACATGCTTTTCGTCAATAGGTTCACGCGGTAGTTATGATTCAAAAATACCAACCTATGTTCACCTCAATTTTGGGTTGGACTTGTGAATGTACTATTAGGTTTCCCGGACGCTTGACAGGACTATCTTTTGCTACATATATTCTCCCTTTATATTTTTTTAACTAGTAATCAAGACGCGATTTCTCTTCTACTCTCGTGCCTTGATTCTATAATAAAGCAAAACTATTAATATTTATTGATACCAACTTGCTTAATATATCCTGAACGTTCATTGCCAAAGTGGCGCACTTTCAATATATTATGTGTTAGGTATCCAAAGCAGGACTCACATAGGCAGGAATCGGAAGAGTATTTACTAATACCGCCCCAAGGGGACCTCGACTGGCAGCATCCAGCAGCAGCATGTTGCTCAGCGAGTTTCTTCGAATGAACTATGGCCATTTGGATTGAGACAATCCTTCTGGTCTTCATGAAAGTTCGGTGCGAATCCACTATCGAGACGTATGGCCATTGGGGGCGCAATAGAATTCGCGAGTTGCGGCCTGAACTTGATTGTCGCATGTATGGTTATCATTGAAAAATAATAAGAAAGATATAACAAAGTCATCACCCGTAGGCGATTCGACAACTTGAGGTCAAACGGCACTCAAGCTGAGGATGGACGGGGATCCAAACTGGCAGTGCGCCAGATGTCGCCAACGACAACCGCTAGGCCAAGTGCTCGCCAATCCATTCATATATACTATGTAGTGTTATTTATCAGAGAAATACAAAGCACAAATAGAAAATTGAGAGTTGACTTGGTCAAATTGCCTCCATAATAAAACGCCTGTCTTAGGGCACCCGTGGACCCGTGAATATAGTCTTACCTTATCAGTGCCAAGCCGGATCTCCATCTCTTGACATGAGCCTTTCTTAACTTCAATCCCAAGCAACTTGAGCTCGCGAATCATGAATAACGAGCAGTTTCGCCGGCTACTAGCCGACCAGTCCTCGTCAAAATCAAAGGACCAGGCTCCAGCTCCTGGTCGCGATGCATCGCGTGGCGGCGCAACCCCGGGCGGATCATTGGGGTCGCGAATGCGATCCAGTATTCCCATGACCCCGTACGTCGCTTGATTTGCAGATTGCTACTATTCCACAGGAAACTAACATCTGTGGTATTACTATAGACGTTCAGTCACAGGTGTGGACTTTGCTCGACAGCTCTTCGAGCAACGCCGCGAGGGCGACCGACCTTCCAAGCGATTCAAGTCCTCCGCCGCGCCGAAGGGTACCTCGCTACCGACCGGCTATCAAGATCGTGCGAAATTGCGCAGTGCAGAGGACGAGAGTGAGAGAAGTGCGGGCCTGGAGGCGCGGATCAAGGCACTAGAGGATATGGTTAAGTTGGGACAAATCGACCAGGCCACATTCGACAAACTCCGCCGAGACCTCGGAGTCGGAGGTGATCTCGCAAGCACACACATGATCAAAGGACTGGATATGGATTTATTAAGAAGGGTCAGAGCTGGTGAGGACGTGTCGCAAGCGGCCGAAAAACCTGCGCCACCCCCCGAAAAAGAAGACGTGGACGAGGAATTCGAGCGTATGATGGAAGAGAAGGGACTCGAGGAGCTCACTGCTGCACCCAAGCAACAGAAAGAAAAGAAGAAGGGGATCATGGCACCGCCACCTGCTAGGCCGAAGACTCGCGATGAAATTCTGCGGGAATTGAGGGCAAGCCGTGCTGCTGCTGCTGCGCCTGCTCCACCGCCGGAGTCAATCCTCGGCTCAAAATTCAAGAAGCTGGGTGATGGAAAGCCTGAGAAGAAGCGGTTTGTGGAGCGTGATGAGACCGGCCGTCGACGCGAAGTGCTCTTGATCACGGACGCGCAAGGAAATACGAAGAGGAAGACTAGGTGGCTTGATAAACCGATTGAATCGCCTGTGCCTCCCGCAGGAGACCTTATGATGCCCGATAAAAGTCTCAAACCCCTCGGTATGGACGTTCCAGCTGATATTGCTGCCCGTGCTGCTGCACAAGAGGCACCCGAGGACGAGGACGACGACATCTTTGCCGGTGTCGGTGATGATTACAATCCTCTCGCTGGACTTGAAGACGAGTCATCGTCTGATGAAGATAGCGAAGTGGCAGATTCGGCTACTCGCAAACCTGAAAAGGCTTTTGCCAGTAAAGAGGAGAAGCCGTCTGCCGTCTCTGGAATAGCACCTGCAAAACCCAAGAACTACTTTGCAACTGGGACCTCCACTACAGCAGAGGAGGAGACTATCGACCGATCCAACCCCCTCACCAAAGATCCAACCATTCTTGCAGCCCTCAAACGAGCTGCAGCCCTCCGACAAAACTCCCCCTCGGCAGAGGGCGAAACAGACCAGCCTTCTGATGCAGCAGTCCTTCGCCACAAGCGCTTCATTGAAGAGGCACGTCGCCGAGACGCCATGGATGCTGCAGATATGGATATGGGATTCGGAGGAAGCCGCAACGAAGACGCAGAGGACGGCGATGGTCCCCTGCTCGACTTTGACGATGACGAGCGAGGCGGGAAAAAGAGAAAGCGTGGGCCCAAGAAGAAGAAGGGTGACAAAGATAGCGTCACGGATGTTCTGCGTGTTGTTGAGGGTCGCAAAAAGGAGAGCTCATAAGTGCCATTGCCAGGAACCCCAGATCTTGCGCTCTCCGTTGTCCTCTACATGTACGTTCTACTATGGAATCGACATTGGAGATATTTAATGCCCTGCTATGCTATGCGTTCTCTAATTGTCTATCAAACCCACGGGTCCGCAAAGACCATTCAGTCACCTCCAACGTTTACAAGCTGTTGTATTAACCGTTTTTAATCTTTGCTGGATATCATTCTTAGCACGCATGAAGACTACACATACTCTACGTATTTACCCCCAAGTAGCCGGCTGCTTGGCTGGCCTTTACCTTCGACGACGTAGGACTTCGATGACCTGAATACCCATCTCACTCGATAGAGATGACGTTGGGTAGACACACTATGCGAAACAAAATACTCCAATGTCTTTTCTAGTATCTGTATCGAATAGTCTCGTGGACACCTGCGTCACCATTTACTAAGTACTACTTGTCTGACTCAATGTATTCCGTCGATACCTTCGGCGTCGGACATATGAGACTAGTTCTGGACTGAAGCATACCTGGTTAACATGTCCATGTGATCTCAAGTTTAGGCTTAGTCTCCCTCTGCAGAAGATGTTGTGTCTCGCCTATAGAGATGGTTATGGATGGCTGTATATCTTCACAAGACTCTGCAGGATACCACTACACCTAGGTAGATTTCTATATCTGCCAATGGGAGCTAGTGGACTCTCTAGATTGGCCTTTGGCACTTCTATCTCCCTAGACAGGTCATCTGTATATCTAGGGTCTCGAGACACGGTACACGTTAACTTAGAGAGGGTGGTACTTTCCCTTTTCCAGACAACCTACTTTCCCTAAAACGGAAGGACCCCCCAACTTCACTCCCCTGCTTCAACATATAAATACCCTCCTCCCCTCTCTTCTCTCCCACCTTTTTCTTTCCTTCTACATGCATCTCCACTCTATACTTTCATCCACTTTCCATCCACCTTCCATCCACCATGGAGTGTTTGGACTTTTGTTCATCATTCATGGCTTCATGGCCATCCTCTCACCACCCGACTCTGTTTTCCTGTGTCTCTACGACGCGTTTGCATCATGGTCCTCTTGGTAACCCCTGTCTGGTCACCTCATCTGGACCATGTCGACTGGTGAGTACCTTCCATCATTCCAAGGTTTGTTCCTTCCACTTGTTCCTTCCACTTGTTCCTTCCACTTTTATGTCTCGTCACGTCTATGTGTTTCGTGTCTTGTTTTGTTGTCTCTTCCTTCCTTCCCCTTCTTACCCCATCCCTGAAACCCCATGTGTTTGTCTCATCACCTCGTGGTATCGTTATAGTCCCATAACTCCATGACATCATGGCATCACACCTGCCTACCGATACCTCGTTATGTATCTATGCATATCATTCCCCCATGTCCCACATCAATAAACAATGTTGGAACCATTTGTCCTGTTACTCACCTAATGAATTGCAGAGACCAAAACACCTGTCCATGCTTGTGATGGATGTCGACTCTGCTTGATGTGTTCTTTCTGCTCATGGGATAAATGACCCCACGGTGAGACCCTTTATGCTCCAGGTGAGAACTCCAGCGTTATCAACCCCACGGTTCTTTTGGCTCGCAATGAGTGGAAGACCTCACCAGTCCATTGACTGACGCAGGGAAACTTTTTCTTCCTCTGCTTTTAGGGATTCGATCTTCGCCTTCTCTTCTACGCTGCTACCATGAGCACTTTCATCTTGTCCAATGGCGTTCGGTATCTATACCAGGTGAGAACTCAAGCGTTATCAACCCCACGGTTCTTTTGGCTCGCAATGAGTGGAAGACCTCACCAGTCCATTGGCTGACGCAGGGAAACTTTTTCTTCCTCTGCTTTTAGTGACAGTTGCACTTTTGCCTCCTTTGTCGCATCGAACAGGGCCTTGCGTGATGAAAGATGAGCACAGCTTGCACTACGGGCCAAACAGGCCACATATATCATGACACCACCACCGTTATCATCAATGTCAACATCGACACCAGAGTCGGAAGCAAATGCCAAGTCTTCCATCTGCATACAGCACATTCAGGTGAGGTCTCACAGCGGAAAAAATTGAAAGGAGGTTGAATACACCAACACCAACCAACCTCCACAGATAGTTAGATAGAGTTCTGCGACGGGATCTCACCAGCATTTGCTGACGCTTGTTGGTTTTTACCAGGCACCTCCATATCAACAGCTGGCTCGGCGAGACCTACCAACTTGAGTCTACCCCCAAGTCGTTTTCCAGCGCGGTATAATACGGAAATACAACACTACATATTCAGGTGAGATTCTTGAGCGGACAACACATGGGAAGGAGGTTGAATACAACTCAAACCGGACAATCCCCACAGCCCAACCTCCTTAGATAGTTAGATAGAGTTCTGCGATGATAGGTCTCACCAGCATTTGCTGACGCTTGTTGGTTTTTACCAGGCAGTTCTATATCACCACCCAGCTCGGAAGAACATACCAGCCTACTTCAAGTTGTTGTTCAGCCCTGGCTTGTCTTTTCAGACATATCTACTGGACCCGAAGACTCGGTGAAACCTCCCAAAATGAGTATGGTCCACACCAGCTTGCCTTTTGCTGCGTATGTCGTCATCCAACAGACACGCACAAGATATTTGCTCCAATTTGCATTATTACAAAGAAGGTTGAATGCACCAACTCCAACCTCCGCAAATAGTTAGATAGGGTTCTGCGACGGGATCTCACCAGCTTTGCTGACGCTTGTTTGGTTTTACCAGGTATTCTCACATATCCACGCCGTCCATTCCAGCTTTCTTGGAATTCAGTGCGCTACACTAATCTCTCCAACATACAACACAAAATAACGGCACACAATCTTACATCTTCAGGTAAGGTCCCCGAGCGGACAACACATAGAAAGGAGGTTCAATACAACCCAAACAGACAACCCCCACAGACCAACCTCCTTAGATAGTTAGATAGAGTTCTGCTATGACGGGCCTTACCAGCTTTTGCTGACGCTTGTTGGGTTTCCAGGTCCATACCAACCGCAAAACAGACGAAATAGCCTATCAACTCAGATTTGCTTGTTATTCGGCCCATGCTTGCTACTCGGCCCTGTATATTACTCAACGGCATCTGATTGATCTTGATCAAATGGGATTATATTCTGTACCCTCGAAGTCGTATAATTGGCTAACTACGTCTAGATGCACTTTTCCTGCGTATGATTGACTCTCTTCCGACAATACTTGAAACCGCCTCGTTGCTCTGGCCTCGATAAGAAAATGAAGTTGGGTCTTTCCGGCCTTGTACATCTCGGTTCGCTGCTAGGTTACAGCGATCTGGTGGTGATTATTCTATGTTGTCTCTACTTGAGCCACAGGACGGAGACTGTGGTCAAGCTTCGGAGACTGGTTCCATTTCGCTGGGCTTACCCATCCTAAGGATAATCTGCAAGCGCGATAAAGTGGGTTCCCGAGGTTGGCCAGATGGGTGCGGCTTATCTCGGTCGCTTGCAATATTGTCCTTAGGATGGGCTAGGTGGTCAGTAGGGGACTGCGCAGATCCGTTCCCTGGCAATATGTTCTCGGCTCCAGTAAAGACCTCAATGCATGGCTTGGCTAATGGGATTTGCGACACGAAAGTCAGCGTTGTGATTAGCTGGATGCAGCCGGGGACAAACGGTGACGATTCCTTCAATTTCCCTGAAATTTGAGAATGTCTACTGGGGGGGGGGGCATGACTATAGTCGCCAATCAAGAGTTTGATGGCGGCAACATACGGAATTCATCATCAGGTCGTCGTGACTTGGACATCTGGCACTATGTTTGTTATGGGATAAACCTGCCTTGAAACACAAAGTTAAAATAGGGATTCATGCTCTGCAAAATAACTGGATAACCACGTTCATCACAGAATTTCATCTCAAACACAACAAGAAAAGCAAAGGATGGGAGAATGAAAAGGAAGACAACGACACCGACATCACCACCAGCGGGAAAAGGCGAAGACAGCAGGGTCTCCAACACAACACTTCGGTCAATATTCTCGTGCCTTGCCTTTACCCATAGGCGACATCACTCTTATCAGAAATTCAGGTGGCTATTCATTTGGGCAGTAACAATACTTCACAGGGTGACAAGGCAACAAGCGAGCTCCTCTCATTCATCGAGCGAATCGTCGAACATGATGATGACCTGGGGATATGATGGAGGGTGTGGTGGCGACATTCAAGCCACGGAAACTGAACTGGGCCAGTCAGGAATCAATGTAAAATAATGGAAATTGAACATCATACAACGATTTGACCTTCCAAGAACGAGCCTATATCACAAAATTCAAGTAGAACCACTACTAATGACTGCTTTTCGAGATAGTCATTAGTTGGGCAAGGATCAAGAGAGAAATAGCAATTGGTCGTGTTCTATTTTGTAGTTTACGGATTTCTCACTTGCAAAATCAAGAAACAACAGGAAGCAATATAGAATCCCTTGGGGTATACGAAACATGCTCTCGACTGTAGGCATAATTCCACCCTCTAGATGTTGACGCGGGTATCGGAGCAATTGATTCACTATTCACATCTCTGATTTCCATTCTCCCCTGCTCAGACAACATGATAAGATCAACGCCAAGCGCCCATAGACACCAGCAGCTTTGAATTTCCATCAAATATCAGGTATCGTCCAACCGACCAAGTCACAAACGGGACAGCACTTTCTTCTGTATCCCCACATGTGTAGAAAAGCTCTCCATCTCGAAAATGGGTGGAGTTTGTAACACCACCAGCAGTATTGCCAACGCTCATTCTGTAGTTGACGAACTAAACGCAATTCCGAAACTGGTTCACGTCGTAGGAGCTCAGTGACCCCCGTTTTCCGCACCCGGAGAAATGACTGGTAGCAAACGAAGAGATATTTGCAAGTGAGCGCGAGGCAAACCTGGTCTGTGACCCAGAGGAATGTGAAGAGTATTTCTACTATTTCTGGTGGAATCTTTTGAAAATTGTCGACTGGTAGAGGTTTATGTTGGGTCTTCTGTTGAGTTGTCCGTCGATGCCGTTGGAAGATGGATTTAATCTTTGTGAGTGGAATTGTATGGTGACTGTTCATATTGGAATATAACGAAATGGTTAAGAAGTGAGATGGGGGGAATGGAATTGACTTCTCAAGTCGATATCTTTTACGTTGATAGGCGTCATCAACTGGCGTATCACCCATGGATTTATATCAGCTTAGGGTTATACCGCTCGTTCTACCTTTCTCTCTTTTCCTCTTCCCTTATGCATACTCTCTTCCTTTATGCATACTAAAAATACGTCAACGATTTAATTAACATAATATTGTGGATTCCGAGGACACTAGGTGATAGCTGATATTGCCAAGATATGCGAATAAAATATGCACACTGTTCTGTGCCTGGGACTGTATCCTCAAGGTAAAAGACATCTTAAGAATTTAAAAACGCAGGCCATTTCCACGTGTCATCCGTAACTGCCCAAGGCCCCTCAGGCACGCTCTCATCCAATACACCCGCCGGAGGTCTCCAAAGCAGCAGAACCCCTGGTGGTCGACACTCATGCACCAGTCTCTCCCACTCCTCACTGGGGTTCTTCCGCTCGCAATCAATATGCAACCCCATCACATTCACATACCCACACCCCTCAAATAACCACCTCCCTAGAGGCCCCGATTCAATAAAAGTCTCATACGCTAAAAGATCAACTCTGTAATGACCCCACTGCATCAAAAGCCGCCCGACTCCACGACGACGAAATTCCGGATGGACACCCATTCGATTCACACCTAATGAGTACCGTTAGCTCTCATTTTATCCCCCGTCTTCGTCAACATATAACACACCTGCATGAGGCCGCTGGAACCAGTACTGTCGTGGACGCAGGAATTGAGTCGCGACGTGGGAGGCGTACTCAGCGCGGTCGGATCCGGCGGGGTACCAGGTGCAAGGTACGGGGCCAGGGCCATTAGGGAAAGGATTCGAGTGGTAGAATATCCATTCACAGCCGCCTACGACTCGGCCGGTTGATTTTTCGATGGCGTAGATGTAGTGAGAACCCGGGGTCTGCTCGTGCTTGGTCCATTGAAGGTCTGTATCTGTGGCTTTGTCTTTGGCACGGTCTTCTGCCGTATGGCCGTTGACGGCGTGGAAGATGATAAATGCGGGTCTAGAGGAAGGGCGAGGTTAATCGGGAGGCTTATTGCAAATATTATCAAATGGGAGGCTCAACTCGTATGGATGGAAGTTGGAAGTCCAGAGAACATCATTCAAGCGGGCAAATTCGTCTTTCGTAGTGATTTCTCGAACTTCGAAATCTGTGGCTGCCATGGTTGGAGATTTTACAGGGGAAGAAGGAGGGGAAAGAGGAATCTTATCCATAAAGTATATATAGGATGACCATCTCATCGTTCCACAGACTGAACTTCCATCACAGGCCCCAAATAATATTTCCGTGCCCATCCAAAATAATACACCATTTCAAATATGATTGCCCCCCCAAAGATGGCGACGCTATAATTCATCTTGGCGGGGGTGGGATGGTTTTCTGCAGGCCAGAACCCAAATATCACCACAATACATGCGAAGGCCAATGAAAAGATGTTATTCAACGTCCCCCAAACCCCTTTCACCCGGAAAGGACCCCAGGTGAGACCCTGATTGGAGCCTTGTCCTGGCTCAAAAATATCCCCTCTAACTCTTCGATACAGGAGCAGTGAGAGGGGAATGATATATGAGAAAAAGAAAGCTTCCATCAGCAGTGACAAGACAATGTTCAACACGATCGACGACCCGATATTGATGAGGCCAATTAAGCCTGCAGCGATAACTATAATACAAATACTGTGAAAGGGTACTGTTGTCCGACGATCAAGCTACTTGCCTTGTCAATTAGATATGTGAATATATGTATGCCCGAGCGCCACGTACCTTATGTATCCATCGCCAGCCTGGAAGAGCCCGTTCTCGCGAAAACGCCCATAGCATGCGACTACCGGATGAGATTCCACCTAGTCCCGCGCAAGCCTGCATGATGGCCATCATGCTCGACAGAACGATTGAGGCTCCTTTGCTCTTGGTGGAATTCTCCAAGATGTGCATGACCGGGAATGTCGCCTGGGACTTCAAGATCGTCTGGAAGTCTCCAGCGGTGAAGAGGAAAGCAATCAGCATTGCAAATCCAAGAACTCCATTAATGGCGATGGCGAACAACATGGAGTGCGGGACCACGACACTACTATTCGCTACCTCTTCGGCCATCTGTGTATCGCGTCAGTTCTGAAAACAGGAGAGATTTTGAGTTGATCACTAACATGGACAACGCCATCCGTGCCTTGAAAAACGGTTTAGTTAATATCAAACATTGAGTACTCCCAAGACTCACCTAAAAACACAGCAACCGTTCCTTTCAGGCCAACTAATGTCGCTAGGGTGACATCCCGCCAACCGCCCAGATTATACGTTTGAATAAATACAGATCTTGCGTCGGCGCGTGGCCCGAGGTAGATAATCGGTATAAGAACTGCAAAAAAGCCAAGCACATGGGCAATGCCAATGAAGACTTCCAACACTGGTAGTATCATCCCTAGCCATGTATTCAGCACTGTGCAGATTAGCAGAAGTGCCCACATTATCAACGTCACATGCCACCCTTTGGGCTCGTAGCTTGGATGAGTCATTGCGAAACAGTTCTGGAAGATGCTTCCAGCTGCGTAGACAGCTCCAGTCGGAACGGCAGTCCAGGCAATGATACAAATTGAGCCTTTGATTATGTATTAGTCCATAATCGGATATATCTAATATGGAACTTATCTCTTTACATACCAGTAATATGGCTGAAAAATCGGGTCGAGGATTTTGGGGCAAGTATACTCGCCCAATGATATTGGCCACCGGCCTTGGAAACCTAGGGATTAGAGATTTGCCATCAATAGTACCCGGGGATGTGGCCATACTGAAGGTATCATGCTTGCCAACTCTCCCAGTGCAATAAATATGCTGGTGAAGCCAATCCACACTGCGATATAACTATATATCAAGCCAGCTGGTCCTCCGCTGAGGTGTGGGTAAATAACAAGCACTACCTTAGTATATCCGGCGAGTAAAACTTACTTTGGTAAGCCAATGCCAATGTTACTAAATCTAGGTTAGCTTGCCCAAGACATCGACAGGGAGAACAGACATAATGACAGCTTCCCATGTCAGCATCAGACTACAGGCAAACCCCACGGTACTTGCCAACCCAAACCTCCGCTAGGAAACTATGTCAGTTAAATCGGTGATCGAAAATGAGGAATATGTAGTTTGAATATTTTGCACCTTTAAGACCTCCTTTTTTCCAACCCTCGCTAGCTCATATGCGTCTCGACTGCATGTAATTGTGTCTTCTCTGTTGGGGGATGAATGACCCTTGGCAATTCTTAGCGGTATCTCAGTCTCATTATCGCTTGGCACGCGTCTATTCATGTTGTCGAACTTGCTATGGGACATTGGATGAGGGATATAATACACAATGAATAGTTAAGGAACGGTTACTCAAGGATGTATGTTATAGCAAGCGGCGGCTTATAAGGGAGCATAAAACAGAGACGGGGGCTAAGGACAGCTTGGTGATGCTGTATCGTAGGCAAATTACGCCAATTTAGGCCTTCGAGGTGGGACAAGCTGAGGGCTTTATTAAAGAGAAGCCGCTTGGGCTGGTGCAAATGAGGAGATGACAGAGGGACCCTTGTGACACTGGGCAACGCTGGAGCGCCAATCAACCTTAAGAGGCAAAATTCTGGAGGCCGTAATCTGTAGCACAGACTGCCATCTGCTGACGGTATCGACGGATCTGGATGCACCGGAAATGCTTCCCTTTTCTGCAATGTCTTTGTTTTATTGGAGATATGGTATTGTCCCGATAGCGGGCCTGGATGCAAGAACTACAAGGATTTAGCATGTAGTCCGTCCTTTTTTTAGAAGCTAAATAACCACATGTTATGACATTAGTGACACGTGTACTACCATCTAGACCTTTCATATTAAAATTCGAGACGATATACACGGTAAGCTAATATGGACAAGGGTTCTCGTCGGGGAGGTGGAAGCTACTTTTGAAAAGATGCATGGCTAAAGGTATTTCCTATTATATCTCGCTGAATGCCCTACATTAAGTGGGCCGTGAGATAATCATCGGCCGTCACCAGATGAAGCCGCTATGCGGGATCCCACCCAGTTTTCTGTAATATGGATGACCAAACTGCAACACTCAAGATTCTATCTTTGTTTTTGGTCATTGTGTCAATTGGAGCGGTAGCTACCTGCCTTCTCACCAGCTGGAACCTACTCAGACGCAAGATTCTCGTCTTGACTCTCCTTCTCGGAACTCTGGTAATTATAAACTACCAAACACATTTGATTATGACTAGAATAGTAAGCTTACAATCTAAAGGCATCATCTACAATCGCAGGAGCCACTACTTCCGTTGCCGCCACACGCGGACTAGGTAGAGATTTATCTAATGACTCAGGAGATCAATTATCTGATCTATTCAAGGCGATCTATGTATCAGAGATATTTCACGTTGCCACTGTCGGCCTAGCTAAACTGGCGTTCATGGTCGTCTTCTATACGATACTCTCCGGGAGCAGCCTCACGACCATTACAAGAAGCATCTCGGCAGCCGTGTGCTTTTTAGTACTCTGGACGTTAACAATGACAATTGTGGTATCCCTTCAATGCCAACCACCCAAAGTCTGGAATCTTTCGGGGAAATGCTTTAATTTGGTATATATCCACCACATCCATAGTCCCATGCCCTTATCTTAAATTCTGCTAACCTGCTGGAAGACCACATTATGGAGATACTTTGGTGTCATGAATATAGCAATCGAGAGCTTGCTATTCATCGTTCCGAGCATCCTTGTCTACCGGCTTCATATGCCATTACAAAAACGCCTAGTGGCTATTGCATTCCTAAGTGTTAGAACACTGTGAGTCCCCCATTCTAGTTTCGATACTAGACCAAACCCGACTAACTGATGGGCTCCCGTCGAGCAGAAATATCGTCGTGTCGGGTATTCAGCTACGCCACGTCAACGGATTTGACAGCAACCGGCGTTCTCTATCAATGGGTCTCTGGCCCTGGATGATGTGTAGCCAGGTCCTACACACAGTGACAATTATCTCGGCCTGCGTGCCGTTTCTTCGTGAATTTTTGGAGTCCTTCCCCAGTGGCATGTTTAAACCAGCTGGGCTGGATTCTACGGGATCATGGCACGGATCGAGATCAATTAGGCTTTTGGATAGTGATTCAACCCCGTAGTCAGGACAATTTCATTCACTCAATTATTCCAGTATAACTGCTCTCAAATCGTAACAGAAAAAGAAAATACGAGAGAAAATGGAACACGTAAGAGATAAATATGTCTGAAAGATCAAGTCCTTGGTGTTTGTGTCTTCACTTGGTAATTGAGGCCACCACTAGCTCACCGGGTGGAGTCGATTTACCATATTTAGTGTGATCGAATGAAGCGACTGTTTTAGATCTTGCTTCGTAGTTTGTGTAACTCAATGGACTAGACATTGCCAAAGAAGCCAGAGTAAGGGCGATGGTCATTGAGAACCACATTGTCGTAGAGATGGTCAGCTAATGCGGATGCTCACGCAAACGAAGGCTGGCCTAGTTGCCAAAAGCTGTTCATAAGCTCATGAAGCAAGAGATAGTTGTTAGAGGAAACAGAAGTACAGACAATATACGGTACTTTGGAGCAATTCGGAATTGTAAACAAGGGCTCTTGGTATATTGGGGCTGTATGCTGAATTTATGCGCTTCACTTTTTGGCGGAAACTACATGAGGAAATAGACAGTGGTTAACCGTCTGAGCGGCTAATAACATAAGAGACTACGGCAGCTTCTATAATTAACATGGAAATCTTGCACATCCTTGGCGCTGTACGACTGAAATATTCATCGATTGCACAAGGGAACATGTGATAGGGATACCTTAAGGCAAGCGAATGGTAGAATGTTACATGCAGAATCTCTGTTTAACCAATCATGATCTCATACAGCCTAACTTATCCCAGAAAGAAGCATTGGCGCGTATCACAGTACAACTCAATCGGAACAAAAGGCGGGAGGACAATGTGGTTGTGCAGGCCATCGATTCAACGAATATCCGGTAATCCGAATGAATGTTGCCTGGGTCATGGTGTGTACCATACGACTTAACTCCACATGCAGCAATAATATTTAGAGCGTAACTGGCAGCAACTCAGGATTGATTTATATCTGTCTATGCAGATAGGAGACTAGCTTAAAGCACAACCACTGCCTCTTTCAAGGTTTTGGATATTTTCTATAACCCAAAAGAAACTCCAACTATGCCATGCGAAAATAAGCAGAGGTGCATTGGTAACCAAAATGAGCTAGAACAAGGCATTAAACGCGTCTGGGGAGTTGATCGGCCAGACCCACGGCTATCAAGAATCAGATGCTGGGGAACATCACTACTCTTCGTTTCACTATTCGTATCTTTAACGCTCAATTTATGGTTGCTCTTTTTTCTAATTAGGCCACATGGCCTAAGCAAAGAAATTAAATCTTGCAACAACCCTGAAAATCATCGATCCCCTTATAGTAAGTGGCTGTATGTTCCTCTGGAAAATATATTGCATCTCTAATGTCAATGGATCCTTAGCGGGACTAGCATTTGATGTTCCGGCCCGATACTCCCTTCACACCGAATACAACGGGGACAACATGACGCACTCCGACAAGATGTGGGACAGTATCAATCTTGACGCCATGGTAATTGCCCCAACCATTGAATGGGCTCAGGATATGGGCCTTACAGACTCGTGGGACTTCCCGTGGGACCCGAAACGAAAGATCTATTTCCTAAAAGTCATTCATCAGCTGCATTGTCTGGTAAGTAAACGGTCATATTGGTGACTGAAGCCGTATCCTTCGAAATTCGGACAAAAGGAATAAACGTTCGACATAGAAAAATATCCGCAGAGCCGTCAAACAGCTGATGTCGAAAGAAGAAAATAATGTCAAATTTGCCCATATCGAGCACTGTCTCGACAGCCTGCGGCAGGATCTCATGTGCAAAGCAGACGACACTCCCATGCCATCTCTCGAGCTGGTTAATGCGGCCGGTGAGGGTCAGGTCTTGAAGTGTAAGAGCTTTGATAAATTGGTCGCCTGGGCGAAACATCCGGACCGTGATGCTTGCTACAAACGAGGAAATGATTATGAGCCGCCTCTTCACAGTATTGATCGGTATGCTTTCTGTCCGCCAGGTAGTGAGCATTTTCCGATTATGAGTAAATACTTCAAGGAGCAAGGATATTCTGTAGATTTTTCAGAGTCGCATAGCGATGATATGCATAATATGCTTGAAGTAGGTTGGTTTTAGGCCGGAGGTAACATAAATATGGACATTGGGAAGGCGTAAATGTCTACTACCTTTCTCCTCAACTTTCATCTTTTGACCTCTCCTTCTCCTAGCCCTTGTGTAATCCATTAATTCAGTATGGAGATGAGTGTTCTCGGCCAATCACAAGAGAACGAAATCACCCCGAGAACCAATGTAACACGCAGTGTGGTGGACTTTTGCGACCATGATCCAACAAACCCGCTAAACTGGCCCAACAGATGGAAATGGTCGATTGTGATCCTCCTCTCTTGTCTATCCGCTGAAGTGTAAGGGCACGGCTAGTTCCTCATTCTTATTTTATTTCCCGCTAACCATTCACTCTGTCAAACAGTCAACTATGCACTATCATCGCAGCACCCATCTCTCTTTCGATACTGGCAGAATTCCACTCAACAAATGCCTTGTACCGCACTCTCATCGTTTCGATATGGGAACTGGGGGAAATAGTTTCCCCTTTGCTTTGGGGCCCCCTTTCCGAGCTCTACGGTCGACGCTGGGTTCTCAATATCGCCAACCTCCTCTTCGTGGTCTTCCTTGCTGGGACAGCATTGAGTACCAACATCCAGATGCTCATCGCATTTAGGTTACTCAGTGGTCTTGCGACGGCATGTTCACCCATAGGTCCAGGCATAGTGAAAGATTTATTTGAAGAGGAGCACCGCGGTCGCGCCATGTCCGTCATGTCACTGGCAGGTGTATTAGGCCCAGTCATAGGACCCATCGTCGGCTCATATCTCGGTGAAAGAGCAGGCTGGAGATGGGTATTCTGGTTACCCACACTTATCTCAAGTGTCCTTGGTGTTCTTATGCTGATAATATACCGTGAGACATACAAGGTCATCATCCTGGAGCGCAAGGCAAAGAAACTTCGCCGCGAAACAGACCGACCGGAACTGCGACCTAGGTACGAAAGAGATGAAACACTAGGCCACAAATTTCTTAGCACCAGCATCCGCCCACTCACTCTTCTCTCTCGATCTACGATTCTCCTTCTAAGCACAATCTATCTTAGCATCGTGTACGGATATACCTACATCACTATGACCACTATCGCGCCTGTTTTCCAAGAGCGTTACGGGTTTTCCGAGGGAGCCTCCGGTCTCACCTTCCTAGGCCTATGCCTCGGACTCGGATTCGGGGCTTTGCTTTGCAGCTTCCTCCTCGACCGATATATCCAGCGAGCCAAAACACGGTCAGAAGTATTCGCTCCAGAGCAACGTCTTCCTCTGCTTCTACCGGCCTGTCTATTAATGTCCGCCGGCCTTTTTCTCTTTGGGTGGACAGTTCAATATCGAATTCAGTTTGTGGTGCCGATCTTGGGGACCGCACTTGTTGGCGTCGGGCTCGCGGCGACCTCCATCTCGTTACAGACCTATATTGTGGACTCCTTTGGGATTTATGCCGTCAGTGCCATCAGTGCAACGATGGTGATGAGAAACACGACAGCTGCGTTCTTGCCCCTTGCGGGGCCGCCCTTATTTGACGCGTTGGGATATCACTGGGGTGGAACGCTTCTAGGTTGTGTAGTTTTGATTTTCTCACTTTTGCCGTTGTCTTTGATTAAGTATGGAGAACGGCTACGTGATAGCAGAAGTTTCCGGTATGGGGAGTATGCTAGAGACATTGAAGATCGTTAGTGTGTGTGGCCTGTAACCCAGCGATGGGCAAGAGATATCTAAATCCCCACCCATGGACGTAGTTGACACAAGGTTGTGGATCCTGGTCCGTGCATATTGAACCTAAGCTTACCCACTTCCGACTTCTGACTTCTTCCTGGCACTACCTATCCGGAGACGATTTCGGCGACTAGCTCATGCGAGCGCTTATTTGCTTTTATGCTGCTGTCACATTCGTGGAGATACAGGTTCATCATGACGGAAGCCGCAGGCATATCAAGACATCAACCCTGCAAACTACGTCTTGAAAAGCGGCAAATGCGCCCACAACTCACCCATTTCCTATGTCTGCCTCTAGTAAACACTAAATCGCTGCCGCAGCTGGACGCATCGCTTGCGGCCTTCAAATCAGCTCATATCGCTGATCCTGGGCCAGCTTCTCAACCATCCTCCGATGGCCAAGGGAACACCTCCCGCCTGGGTCTTCCCAGCACAGCCTTCCGTCCACTGGGCACACTTCATTTGACTCTTGGGGTGATGAGTCTCGCCAATAAAGAGCGTCTCGATCAAGCCCTTACTTTTTTCCAATCCCTCGACCTAGAAGCCCTAATGAACGAGGCGGAGCGAGTCACAGCTCAGGCACAACAAAAAAGAACCCTTCACCGATCATCGCCCTTGACTGTTTCTCTTGAGTCATTACATGCTCTACCGCAAGGCCAATCAGCAACTATACTACATGCTTCACCTGTCGATCCTACAGGCCGCTTGCTTCCATTTTGCATAAAGCTACGTGACAAATTCATCGAGGCTGGCTTTATCCAAAGTGAGCCCGACAGAAGACCAGCAGGAAGACAAAAGCCCGCCAATCGCTTTGTCCAAGACTTTCCTGTAGCCTCTGGATCTGCCACTATATCTAGTGATGTGTCTTTACACCCACCAGAAAACCAAATTTCCTCTACAACCCCAGGCGTGTCGAGAAACCCAGATCCACCCATAGCCATAATAACCCGAGAACCAAAACAGCGACCACTCCTCCTGCACGCGACTATTGTCAATACCATTTATGTTCGTGGACGACAGGGCCAGAACAAGGACGTGAAAGACAAGAGTCCACCTAAACGCCTTACATTCGATGCTCGCAACCTGATCTCGCAATATCGTAATTACTACTCTGATGACAACCGAACTATCCCACACCCAGGACTTAGTGTCTCTCCTCAGCACACCGCAAGTCACCACCACCACCACCACTACCGTGCAAAATCTTCACCAATCCCCAAAAAAAGCATTATTCCCGCCAGGCATGAAACCCATTCAGCCACTCCCCCACCGTCGCAGGGCCATCCTTTCATTTGGGCAAGGGAAATTCCGCTGGATACTATCTGCATCTGCGAAATGGGCGCCAGGAAACTATATCCCGGGGTCAACGACAGTCATGGTTTGAATGAACGGCTCGGCGAGAGGTATACGGTCGTTGCAGAACGGAGTCTGAATCCATGACTGTCATCGCCTCCCTTGTCGAACACAACGCCCCCACCTAACAGCCTACCATCCAGCAGAAAATGATCAACCGGGGATAATCCATGTAAATAGAATCCTTATCTTAGACATATGAGAAAACTAAATTGTTTTAGATATTTGCTTCCATTGCTGTATTGCTAGCTGTATTAATGAGTAAACTAGATCCCAAGCCTGCTTGGGTTGCGGATGGTACATGTGGGTGGGCTTGCTCATCATGGATTGAGTTGCATTAAAGTGCAGCTCGGTATCGGCTAAGCCACGAAGAGAAGTTCTACGACCTCTTCTTGAGGGTTGTCTGAGATTCTAACCGGACAATGAAAGCCAGATGGCTAGTACATCAACCCGAGTCCCCGTGACTGTGAGATGAATGAGGCTGAGCGCGATTAATTGCATATGGAGCTGAGACGAATCGGGAATACGAGTGTGCTTGAAAGAATCAAGTACCACAAAATCATCTCAACCGACTCATGATGGTCTCCTGTCCCCGTTCAACAGACAACTCAGCAGCCTTAGCCTTGATGGCGGTGAGCATGCTGCGCTCGAAATCATCACGGGTGCGCAGCACAGCCTCAACCCACGAAAGCTGCAGATCCCAGTACTCAAGCTTGAATGCTTCGTAAACTTCCACAAGTGCGGGGCCCTTTTCGGTAGCAAGGAGGCGAACAAGCCAATCAACCAATCGCCATTTCTGCTTGATAGTACCCTCGAAAGAGTCGGGGTAATTCTCAAAGAATGCAAAGACAGTAAGGACGTCGTCCTTGAATTTGTCTGTGAAGGGGTCGACCTGGCGGCGGAATTTGACACCCTTGTTGCGCACCGCAGACAGGTACCGCACTAGAAGCTCGTCCGACAGTTCCTCGACCAGAATCTCGGCCAGGGATGGGTGTAGCACAGAGGAATAGTCCGCCATGTAGTCTTCGAAGGTAGAGGTAATACGCTTCATGGCGAATTCACCGTACCAGCGGGCCGTGAAGAAGTCGGGTAGGACAGTGTCCAGATCGACCCAGAAGACAAGGCTCACAAACTGCGCCAGGCAGTGCGTACTCAGATCCACGTAGCCATCGCGCAGCGCATCTAGCTCGATAGTCGCAGTGGTGCCCATGTATTTGGGTGTGACCATAGACTCGAAATCGGACTTGAACCGCGTCAGGTAGCCGAACTGGCCGTCCTCCTCGTTGTCGTCGATGCAGGAGATCTGATCGTTGGCTATGCCGATCAGCCAGTCTTGCAACAGCTGCACGCCTTCTTGGTCCGCGCCTTCAACTTGGTGCTTCGAGCATTCTTCGTCCACGAGGTTCTGCCATGAAGTCTGTCGGGTCTTCAAGGCACGGAACATGGCGTCGATGATACCTTCTACTAGGTCTGCGCGGGCTGATGCTCCTGAGGCCATCACTTGTTCATGGAGCATGCGCCACATGTCGGCCAGTGTCTTGGTGCGGAAGTGGCCATCTGCGTTGTTGTCTAGGGCATCTGCAGCACGTTCCACGAGAGACTTTTTATCTGCGTTGAAAATACGGTCCATCCATTCTTCGACGGCGGTGATGATGACGTCCTGCCACTTTCGGACTAGTTCTGGTTCGCGGTCGTCGAGAATGTTGGGTTGCAGATCTGTTGATGTCCAGCCAAGCTTCTTCATTTTCTTGTAGTATTTGTCGCTCCAGTGGATGATGCTGAGCAGATTATCGGCTGGAAGTTCGGTGTCGTCAATCATGCTGAGCAGGAAGTCATGCATCATCTGATGATAGATATCGGTATACGTTTTGAATATCTTCCATTTCTTCGGAACAAGGCTCTGCATGCCTTGCTTGACCGTGAATAGATCATTGAAGTACCACCGGAATTTCTTTTCCAGATTTTCTGGATCTGCAAGGAAGTTTTCGAGGGTCTCCTCAAATTGTCCCTGGGCGTAAAGCTCAATAGCTTGGATGAATTTGTCCTTGTAGCCCCGCACAGTCTTGGGACCAATGTTCATAGACTTGAAACGACTTGCGAGGTCCTTGTGGTCTTTCTGGGCCTCTTGCAACGCTCGGACTGTATCATCATTTTTCTCCTCGTTCAAGACAACAACAGCAAGTCGCACAACCATGCTCTTATTGTCCGCCTGCACCAATGGAATGAGGTTCATGCAAGCCGTGCCAAGGTGATCATCGAACCACTCAATAACAGAATCCAACCCCTCAAAGTATTCTATCAGAGTCTCTTCGGAGCTCGGGTCCTCCGCTTTGCGGATCTGATCCATAGCCTCGTCACGGAAATCTCTTAACCGCGAGATCTGCATATGAGCTCGCAAAATATTAGGCTGATTCTCCATATCGTCATCATCCTCTTTAAGTAAATCTTCCACTTCCTGGATATCCGCGCCAAAATTCTCCAGCCCCCGTTTCATCATAAGCGTAGCATCGAAATGTCGTTGGATCCGCGCAAGCTGGTCAATCTGCGCAAAGTCCTCCACGCTATGCTGCGACTCGGCGCACAGCTTGTCAATGCCCTGAAGCTCGTCTTTTGTTTTCGAGACTTGTCGCTGGCCCTCAGTCAGAGCACCAATACTGCGCTGCACAGCCTCCAGCTGGTCTCGCAGACCTTCACGCAACCGTGAATCAACTGCCGTCTTCTTCCGCAGGTATTCCGCTTTGAGGCCGCTGATCTTATCAAGATCTTCCGGGTGCCGAAGGAGGTCTTCGAGTCGCGGCAGCGTGACCGTAGTATCAATGTTACTGGGTTGCGCCATGGTCGTGGTATGGTATCAGGTATCAGGTATCTCGTGGTGTCGTGGTTCCGGCTCAATCGCTCGAAGCTAGGTCGAGGGGTGAGGTGTCAACAATGCGGGCATGGGGTGTTGCTGGCGGGAAGGTGGTGCGCAGCAGCTAGTTACGATATAAATCCAGGTACTGTCACACCGGAAAGAGCGCAGCCCATACTCTCCGCTTTGAAAATGTGAAATACTATATTAGCTATTACAGGTTGATAGATTGCTGTCGCTGCTGTCATCGGATTCCCGGCAGAATACGCACGTGATCTACCGCCTTGTAATTGAATTTGCGGGATCGCGATCATCTCCAAGCCCGCGACGTTTCTCCGCCAGATCACAGGATCAATTGCGCTGCAGATATCGGCTGCAAATTCTCATCCACCGATACTCCGATATCCTTCTATATCCACCACATTCCATTCCGCCCATCCCGAGTCCATTCCACAACTCCGGACAACCAAGCCATCAAAAGAACAAACATCCGAATATCAGATCCTCTTGGTCTCCACAATCCAACATGTCCTACTTCCGCATTACCCTCGTCCGCTCCGCAATTGGACTCCCGCGCCGCTCAACAGATGTCCTCAAGGCTCTTGGCTTGAAAAAGCGTATGGCAACAGTCTTCCACAGCGTCTCGCCCTCCGTCGCGGGTCAAATCATGAAAGTCAAGGAACTTGTCCAGGTCGAGGAGTGCCAGTACCGCCTCACGAAGCAGGAGGTGCATCTCGAGCGCAAGCCTGATCCTGGATATTATACCGAAAAGAGCTGCACTGCGCAGCGGGGGGAACTCGGTGGTCAGTGATTGTTTTCAATGAGCTTCGCGTGGAATGGGAGGCTTTTCAGACTGGGATTTTCTCGCTGGTCTTGAAGACTCAGATGGAATTTGAGTCTTTTGAAATGCCTTTCACTCGGACGGATGGTTGATTGATCGATCGATCGCATCCTCTTTTTTCTGTTTTGGCTTTGCTTGCATGGAGCGGGTTGCTTTTTCCTTTCTTTTGGTCATGTACTCTACGTCCACATCTATCGGGCGAATATCTTTCCGGCAAACTATTGTATTATATGCATTATTACCGTCTAGTGGAATCCAACACTTTGAAACAAATATGTGCGATTTGAAAGGACCTGTATAATGATAACGCCACTGCACCAGCAGTTTAGGTAAGGACAGATAGGAGACACTAGGACTACACCGTAGAAGCAGTCCAGACAGGCTGAGCAAAGAAGATACAAACAAGGAAAACAGAGGTAGTCATACAAAGAATCATGCTTTGTACAAAGTATCCAAGAAGCCTTCTGCCAGACGGCTAACGATACTCTTATCGGGAATGCTACCAGCCACACCGTACAGAGCAGAGGTATCACCGCGCTTGAGGATATACGATTTGCCCTCGCGCTTGCGCTGCTCGGCCTTCTCAAGCTCTTTGCCGATGACTTCAGTCAGATCAGTAATGAGCTGGTCGACAGCCTTGGCAGTGGGAATAGTGAAGGCACAGTGGATAGCCGGGGGAGATTGCAGAGCGTTGAGGTGCCAGCCTTTAGCGGACAGGTCATCGGCGATATCATAGATGTCAATGGCACCGTTCTTGCTGCGGAAAGCGATCACACTGACGATCGGGTTACCAATGACCTCCATGTGCAGTGAGATAGTCGCATCGGTCCGGACAGCCGTATCGAACTTCCGCGCCGCGTTGATGATATCGGTGCAGCTGTTGATGTATCCGGTTTCGCCGACGCTCATCAAACTGGCCCAGCAACCGGCGATCAGAGCGCCAGGGCGGGAGCCTGCCACGGAGGGAGAGGCGTAAACACCGCCGGACCAATCAGGGTAGATGAAGTACTGGTTGTTTCGGTATGATTTGTTGCGGTAGATCAAGACCGAGTTACCCTTGGGGGCGAACCCGTACTTGTGAGTGTCGACACTGATGCTGGTCACACCAGGCTGGCGGAAGTCAAAGCCACCCTCTTCTTCGTAAGGAGAGGGGAAGCCGGCCTTCTTGAGGTGTGCAACAACGAAAGATCCCAAGCAGCAGTCAACGTGGAGAGGAATCTTGTACTTGGTGGCCAGGTGTGATAGAGCGGGGATATCATCAACAATGCCGTGGGGGAAGTTAGGTGCTGACCCAACAAGAAGGACGGTATTGGGGTTGATTAAACGGCGAACAGCATGCACGTCGACCTTGAACTCGGGCTCCGGGCAAGGCACGCGGTGCAGCTTGATCTTGAAGTA